TCGATTGTAAACGTTAAAATAATTTGTAATTAAATTTTCAAAAGCATTTTTCTCGAAAATGGTGTGTTCTAGCGAGGTGCAACAAGGAAAACAGATTTTCAAATTGAGCAGTCCAAATTAACGAAAATTCGACAAACAAAAAATTTGGGGCAAATTTTTCACACGCCTCCCCTGTGTTATCCACCCCTGAAGACAATCCAATAGGTACTAAGTTTTAGTTTGTTAAATAGAGCCGCAAAGGTTTAGTAACTGTACGTGTTTCAAAAATATTTACAAAAAATCGCCATGACCTCTTTAAATTTAACAGCCTGTATGTTAAAAACTAAGACGTTTTGGACCCTAGGTTATATGAACATTTATCCTTATTTTGGGTCACAGAATACGTGGTTAATGTATTTGCGGCAATTTTTTTATTTTATTGTTTTTTCATTTTGATCCTTATTATTATAGTTCTGTAGGTATATGGCTCCTTTTCAATAATTATTGGGCATTCACTTAATGGTACTGGAAAGATCTATTTTTCCATTAACTTTTTTAGCATTTTTTTGTTTTAAATGAAATCATTGTTACAGCATTTTACTTATCAAAATAAAACAAAAATTTGTTTTAGACAACGACATAACACACAGGAATATTCAGTTATCTATTTTTTTTACAGACTTTTTTTGCTTACTAATAATTTTTATATAATAGATATAATTATTTTTCATCACTATACAGGGTGATTCGTGGTGGATGGTAGAATAAAAATTATTTATAGAAGTTCCTTTTTCGCAGGTAATACAAAATTGAACTCCACCATCGTGATCTTGGAAATTATAAGGGAAACAAGTGTTGTTAAACTAGAGCAACATTGGTAATTTCAGTCCTTAACAATATGTGGTTTAGATATTTTTAACATTCCAAGTAGTTTCGGAAATACTTGAGAAAATCTTAAAAGTTGATAAGCTGCAGCCCTGTCACATGATCTTATTGTATCAATCCTATATACTGTGATGGCTTTAGATTTTAGTTTTTTACTATGCTGTACTTTTGGATCCCATGATCTAAGAAAACTATGTCAAATAAAAAGTACTTTGTTACGGGGTTGCGGTACGACCAGACGTATTCTTTTTTAACCTCTCCTCTAAGTAAAATAGAAGTTAAACAATAAAATAACAAGCCCCTATACAAAAGCACTTGGCACTTATTTTCAGTTAGCATTAGTTATTTTCCCTCATCCAAAGCATACAAGAATTTTTAACTCTAAAGATGGTTTGCTTGGTTATGTTGAATTGATATATAATAAATACATTTCATTTTTGATAACAAATAAAAAAATCGCCAAATTAAAGTTGTTTATAAATTAACTTCCTTTCCTTTTGCATCGAAATTTAATCCACGATTCATAAAATTAATAAAAAAACGGTTTCACAGTACAGTAAATAGGAGATGCATTTTTTTTGGTGGCCAACCCTGTGGCGCACCCATTGTTCTGATTTGAGTTTGTAACTTTTTACAATCTCGAAAATGGATTTAAATTTGCAACAAAGAATTTGTATAAAATTTTGCGTTAAAAATGGATTTAATTGTGCGCGAACGCTACAAATGTTGTAAAAGTGTTTTGCAACGATTCTCTAAAGCAAATGATCGTTTACCAGTGCCACGAGTGGTTCAAAAGGGGCGTGAGACAGTCAAAGATGATGAACGCAATGGCAAAGTAGGTAGAATGGTAGAAGGCCAGAGACTAAACAAAGAGTATTATTTGTGCGATATGAGTGAGACATTTGCGTGATGAAAGAGACCAGAATTGGGGCTAGAAAACTCGCGGATTTTGCACCCTGATAACATACCGTCGCACAATGCCATCATTATTCGTATTTTTTTGACAAAGAACAACAAATACTATCGCACACCCCCCGAATTCGTTTCCCTGTAACTTCTTTCTGCTGAATCGAGTCAAAAAACCATTACGGGAAACGCGTTTCGGCAGCCTAGAGAAAGAAATGGAAAAATGGCAGGAAGCACTAATGGACATACCAAAAACCAAATATAAAAAATGTGTTGAGGAATGTGTTGCAGTCGATGGGGATTAGTTTGAAGGTGACAGTATAGATTTAGATGGATAAAACATATTTTTAATTTTCCGAATAAATTCAGGGGACTTTGTTGTTTCTAGTATTGTTTTCAGTCTTAGGAATTGGATATCATTGTACATGTGTCGTCAACTGCCATTTTATTTAATGGTAGACATGCGGTTTCAGAAAATGCCAATCCGAGAGGTGATCTACAAATTTATAAACCAAATGTACTTTTTTTATTGTGGTATTGGGGAAAAGTATAAAATCCTTAAGGTTTAATTAATTAATCTCTTGTTTTGTTGTTTTGTTCCATATTGGTAAAATTAATACCATCATTAAGTAAATATATAGCTGGCTATTTGTATTTGTCTTTTAGGGTTTTAAATTGAGGGTTTGACACTTTAGCCATCTACATAGCCTCGTGCATAGTTGCTGGGCATCGGTACATAGCGTGATACAAAGTTCATCGGAATTGTGTGCTGTTCTGGGAAACTTAAGTCCGCCGATACAGAAACCTGCGAAGGTAAGCCATATCTTTTTTTTCTTCACCAATTTAATGTGTTGATAATAAATTCCCTAACAAAATTTATGTAAGCTGGTGTAATAATTGAAAATACTTTTTCTGTACCAAAGATTTCAATTTAATTTAAATTTTTTGTATATCAAAAATTATTTCATTTGCACTTTCCAAGCTGATTATACTGAAAAAAAGTTGTAGTCTTATTCCACATATTGAGGCTGTACTATATTGTTTATTTCTCATCGCTAATTGATGCAGACAATTTGGCCATGTGGTTACACGATTATGTGTCTTAGTGGGGAACTCTGCCTCCGTCATTCAGATTGCCTGTATTACGGTATATTTTGCTGCCTTTATATATCAAAGTTTCGATATCGACATATATACAGGGTGTTTAAAAATAGATGCGAAAAATTTAGTTTCTATATAAAAAAATTAAATGTAGGTCGAATGTCAAAAAAAAATAAATAAAAATACAAATAATTTTTGTTCGGTGTTGTGTGTTGTCCAACGGTATTTGTACTAACATTTATGATAATCTTCCAAACAATTATGTTTCAAAAATAATTTATAATCAAACATAAGCTGTGATTAGGTATACCATTTAGATATGCTTGTGTATAAGTACAAACTTTAAAGAATCAAAGAATTTGAATTTGTTCTCCATTACTTAAAATACATTTCTGCATTAGTGTAATTAATCATTATTGAATTAAAACTTTTTATTATTAAACAATTGAAGGATTAGATAATCAGTTTGAATTAGTGCTATTTTTTATTTAAACTAACTAAGTATTGTCAAATGAAACAGTAATAAGAAACGCCATAGGAAGTGACTATAATTTTTTTGATTATATTTTTTTATTTGTGGACAGTGAGCGTTATGAAAATATTCCAGAAGACAAAAGTTTCTATATAAAACATAAAATTAACAAAATAAGTTTTTCTTTGGTGCTATATATTTTCTTCTTTTAGATAAAACATAAAAACAACGTTTATATAACCAACTACCCTCTATTTTACACATAGAATTACCCCCTTAAGTTTTTCTTCTTTGTTTTGAAACACCATAAATACAGGGCAATTGACGCTATGGCCAAATGGTTTTCAAAAAATTTTGCTTATGGGATGCTTAAATTTCTATTATGGTATTTTTTAAAACCCATTCAAGCAATAAGTGACCTCATCTGAATAAACATAAACTTGGGAAATTTGAATTTAAATGAGATTAACCTACTCACTCACCATTGCGAAGTTCCTGCATGAAAATAACATTAACTCTAAAACTTAGAAGTTACAAATCCCCATGAACAGGTTACTTGAAAACATTGATATTTTCAGTAATAGTTATGGTTTTCCGAATGCTGCTCACATGCTTAACGCATATATTAATTTCCATTTGACATTTACAAGATAGGTAACTCTACTCCTACTTTCCACTATTCATCTGCATTGGGTTTAAATTATTCTAATATTCTCTTTCGGTTTAAGTAAATCTAACCATGTTTTAAGTTTCACATGCATAAGGAGTGGTTCTGTAGCTAAACAGGAAATTAACTATTAACTGATCTTTTGATCAAGACGAAGATTTTTGTAGTAAAAAAAGTGTTTCTTTTTTTTGCGGTTTGCACTTGTCTTTTCCGCAAGAGTGATATGGTGGAGAATTTAAAACTTGATATCAATCATATGACAAAATTTAAAAATGCTTCCTTCTTGTAACAATGTTCCTATGAAGCGCATTTCTTCGTTTTGAAAATGACTGGTATATTGTCACTTGTTATTTTACTGGTCATTGCGATTCTAGATGTTTTAAGTTCGAGGATTATCTGGATATATTGTCCTATCGCTGAAATTTGTACCTGCATGCCACATTACATCAATTTTCTCTTGGAGAATTTTCATGATTCTCAGGTTATAACGTTCTCCGTCAGTTTAGCATTTAGTGTGCTTTTGGTATCCGTTATTCCTGGTCAATATTTTGTACGATTACCTTGATTACACCTGTATTTTTGTGTAAAACTTGTTGCATTCTGATTTTTTCCATTGTTTACTGTAATCATACGTCAAGCTTCCAAATGTCACCGGCCGGAGTCGTTACTGGCGCAGTTGCCAGATTGTGGAATAGTCTCTAAGGTTTCTCGCGAAGAATAATAATTCCTTATGTTAAAATTAATTCGTTTTCAGTGTTTGGGTAATGTAACTCGATAGAACGTTTCTGGTCTTTATTACTTGTTTAGTGTTACGTTTTGCTCCGCATTCTCGGTTGTTGTGATTGATACATTGATTTGCTGGTTGATTTGGCATTACGCGTCGAGTTTATCTCCACCTGTGATCGTGAATGCGGTGGAGTGAGACGCCCAATGGAACTCTGTGAATGTTAGACAAGGATATCTTGATCTTCGTTGTTCGTGAGGGTTGATTTTGCGTGTAGAGAACACATTAACGTTCGAATGGGCTTCGCAGTGTAATTGAATTTTTCGGTGTGATTTTGGTGATTTTAAAGAAAATACCAGGCCACCGAGTTGAGGCGTCCGCCAAAGATTCTTCGAGTAAACTATTGTGCCATCATCTGGATCAGACATTTGGATGTTTTTGTATTTGTTTTCTGATAGGTTGTCTGCGCCATTTTGGGGATGTGATATATGTACGTACCTCATGCATCCACATGAGGTTCTTATTTTTGCTTTGTTGGCACAATGGCAATTAGTTGATACGTCTTACACTCGTACGTAAACCCCGATCAACACCTACAGGTATGTGATATTTTATTTCGGGTGTAGTAACTGATTTTTGGCATTCCCTTACAGGGATTTTTCTTTTTTTCCTTTTATTTCCTTTTTTACCATTTTTTCTTCCGTTTTCTATCTACGTTGTTTGCCTTGTAGGGCAACGTTTTGGAATTCGACAACTATTTGCTGTTCGCTGCTGGAGTGACTCGCTTAATTTGGTAGCAGCTCTTCACCGCAACCAGTCAATCGATCGCGACCGTGCTATCGGATACAGCCGGAGTCTAAATCAGCGTACACGACTGCAGCCACTACTTACAGGAACCGCAAGGTATAACACCTTTTTTTTTATTCAACTGAATTTATCAAAACTGAGTTTATATTTAGCCTTTTAAATTTTTAATTATCATTTTCATAAGTTAGTTAATAAGTATTTTACGTACTCTATAAGTGAGACATTGCATTATGGGGGGTACGTCCATGTAAACAATCGTGATCAAGGGTTGGTTAAAAGTACTCACTCAATTAATAGTTTTTTTTTTTCATTCATTTATTTTGCTGCACACAAACTTCTTTGAATCCTTCAATACTTGATGCAACACATCTTTTTTCCTTTTTCTTTAGTCAATTTTTTTTTCTTTATTTCTTTAAACATATTTCACACTATCTTTCCCAGTTGAACGAGCTATCCGCCGTTTAACATGATCTCCAGAGTCATTCTGCAAACTAGCGAAATTTCATCAGAAAACACTATAGTTGTCTCACGCTAAAGCACTTGTGTAGTAGAAAAAGTAAGGGCACCCAAATGGATCCATTCAAAATGGACATTTTTAACTGACTACACATATTTTTGTTGAAACTTCTGTCTCAAATTAAATCTAGAAAATTTGAAAAACTTGAAACTAAGAAAACATTCTTCTAATTCGAAAAAATTAATTCTGGAACTAAATATTTTATGAAGTATTCTTGAAAATTTTCTTGAGTCATCTAACCATTATTGCTGTTTGCTTTCCAATTATCAGTGGCGTCAGGTAATGAGATTTTGATGCCTTTGCAGTAGGTCTACGACATTTTCCTTGGCCGAGTTGTGAGGGTTGCCCGCTAGTAAAAATTGCATCGAATTGACCTTTTTCTTTGACATTTTCACTATTTCGCATTTTGAAACTGTGCATTTTTTTTTTTAATGTCAACAGTGGATTCAATTATAATTCACTCTCATCTCACAAACCCCAGTTTCAAAATCAAAATATGAAAAATAATTTTAATAGAATTTGCAATAGAAGCTGCAAATATTTTACTCACAAATAACGAGCGTATTGATTTATTTTCTGCCTCTCAGTAGTTTTAATTGCAAAGTAAAGAAGACTGTTTTTAATCAACCGGTCGCCTTGTAAACGTGGTAGTTTAGCAACTGTAAGTGTTGGTGTTACTATTTTTCTTAGGTATACTATACTGTAATCATAATAAATGCTAAATGCGTAAATAAAAATTTTGATTTTAATTTTATAATGTTTCACAAGTGACAAATCCTAATAAAATTCTGGGATGACCAGCTTTTCAACCAGATGTTAGAAAAATAAATACAACTAACTTCAGTTTCAGGTATAAAGAAAACGGTCTTATAATCTTCAGGAGGAATAATTTAGTTTTTCTACTCCCGTCTGTAAAATACCTAATTATCCACCGATCTAGCGTGCGGGAAGCGTACCACGAATCCGAGCCACTGCGGACATTTCCGCGATTTTACCGCACGGGTTTGGGAGCAATCGGATGTTATCGGAGATAATTCCCACGTTTTGAATTTTGACGTTTGTCAATTCTGACGGTCATGTCAGTGAATGTATTCGTGTTGTTTTACGAAAATGTACCCATACTCCTTGTGTGGGCCCTATATATTGTTTATGATGCTCTGTAGATTATGAGTTTGTAGCACAATTTAGTCACACTGACGTGTAAACTGCTTACAATGAAAGTGATTCTGGGATCCACGAAATGTCCGTATATTAGGTTAGGACGCATTTAACATAAACCTATAAGATATACAGAAATCTGTTTTTGTGTTCTAATGGTTTTTATAATGCCTGCTTACAATTGGAATTTCGGCAGAAAATTTGTTTCAATTTTATTGTTGACAATGTTTACGTTAATCCTCGATATGAGGATAGCACGGAATAGTACCCAACACTTTATGAGGCCTTTATTGCTTAATGTGGCGCAGTTTTTGTCGTATTGTCCGGCTCTTTGACCCATAATCGTGAAGTGAGGTAGATGAAGGAGGGCATCATATATGTTTGTTTCTGGCTTGTTGCGAATGCGAGTGAGGCTGGTAATTTCAGATTAGACTAAAACTAAGAACTGTATTCAATTCGTGTAGCAGGAATACGTGGCTTTTTGTAAAATTGAAGGTTTTCGGTGTTATTGTTGGTTTAATGCATTTTGTGCCAGTTATTTTTCACTGTAAGTGTCCATATTCCTTGTCTGCTATAGTGCCTACGCCCTTTTTGAGATATATACCCACATCTACCTCGATTAAAGCCTAAAGGTTTGTGATATTCTATTTTGCGGAATATGTATTAACTATTTTAATTTCGTTGCAGATTTTTTGGGTTTCCTATTTTCTACATGGGATATTCAAGCTTGCGATTGCTAGTCGCAGGAACAGGGTAGAATTTGGTTTTTGGAGTGACAGCTTACTTTTCACACCAGATCGGCTAACTCCCGGTTTGGTGGAGCTTTTTGCAGCCCAACAGCTCCTTCATTCTGTTGTTCGCCTGTAGATCATTGGCCAGGATGACTGTAAGTTATAACTGTTTTTCATTATTTGATTAACAACCTGATTAACAGAATTTCTATATGGGGAGGCATAATATTCAGTGCCCTTGATTGCTAATAAAAGAAAAACTTGTGGCGCATAATATTGTAAGCAAAAATATATGAAAGTAGAAAGTAAGAAAGGGAAATAAAATGAAATACTAAAATAATTAGTTATTGATAATGGGCCAGGGACTGAGTTGCAATTGATTCTGAAAAGGATTCTGAAACTAGGTTTGATTATTGATGTAATTAAAATGGTGTTCTGTCAAATAGGTTTGAAAAAGCTTCAAAATAGATGCAAAACATCCTAAGGAGAATACTCATTATCTTATATTTCCTAGGACTGACTCCCACAATCCACAAAAAATCAAAACTGGATGCTTGAAGTACTATACTTTTTCTACAGTATTGACAAAATAATACATACTACTTCTTTCCATAAAAGTTAATTGATCAATAACTAAATGCCCATTCAAGGTGTATTTTACTCTATCCAATCCAAAAACTTACTTTTTTTTTTGTTTTTTATCTATAATTTTTCTTTTTACATTTTCTTTACATGGGATATTCAAGTGTTATCTTAGTTTTGTGGTTGTGGTTTTATGGCTTATCCCCCTTATTAATAAAGCTAGCGTGTTGCAGTTTTTGTCATACAGGGTGGCTTTGAAATACTGCATTTTCAGAAACCCTTGGTAGTTTGGTTATGCGTTAACTTATTGAAAAGGTGAAGGCTGACGTAGGTATAGTTTTTTACGATCCAGTGGCGTAGTCAGTTTTCTTCTCAATTTTTCCTGATTACGTCAGAGCTAATTCAAATACAATCATTTTATTTTTTTATTGAGCAAGTAATGACCAAATGAGCTTCTGCTTTCATTAATGCTTCATTAATGTTGCAAATCTTTATATATTTTGTCCTTATTACTGTTGTGACTAACTTCATCACCCCACAAAGCAATCTACAAAATATCTTGCCTGCCTTACATATATGTACTTGTTCTTTTTTGCCAAATCTAACAGCTGTATTCCAATTATTTCCAAGTAATTGTATTAATTGAAAAATAATTCTTCATGCTTTTTTTTAAACTACATTTTTTCCCAATAAATTGGTCCCAGATAATTTATGAAAAAAAAAAAAGATGTTTGACGAATGTGAAATTTTTTTTATCCCAAAAGCAGTGTAAAGAATAAGAACGCGCATATTTTTTGCACAGAACTAGGTCTATTTTGCCAAGGTTTGAAATAGTTTCTTTGTAAATAAAATTTGCAAATTACTGTTTATTATTTTTTTGTGTGTTTATAAATTTTGAATTTTTTATTGTACTTCCCGAGTAGTAGTAGAGTATTTTATTGGGGTGTTTTCAAAAAAAATGTTATTGAAATCAGAGATTTTTTCTATGATAGTTTTATATTAGTTTATTTGTATATGCAAGATATATCTTACTGTGACTTTCTAATTTTTAATAGGATGCTCTGTATGTTACTGCAAATTTGGACGAGTCGAATGACGTAATGTATTGTGTGGGTCTGGGTACCAACGTTTCGGATTTTTTGATTTTGTTCTTCAGTCTGACAAATTCTTGAATTAACAAATTCGGTAAATAAAAGTTTTTTGAGATTTGTTTGCATGAAAAGAAATCGAAATGTTATTTTAACTACACATGTTTAAACATTATTGTTAAAATTTAAACATGTTACTGCAAACTACACGTTTTGCTATTAAAACATTTATTGATTTACTTTTTACAAAATTTCTTGATTCCTCCTGCGTCAGTTTTTGCTGACGTTTCGCCAATCATAGTGTTGGCTTTTTCAGAGCTTCACTGAAACTGATTCGTATTTTACTCTGGACCTGCTTATATATTGTTTGAGGGGGGCAGAGCTAAATGAGCGGCATAAACACCGTCTCGGATGACTGATCCCCATATTGATGACAGATAGAGACCTGAGTCGCGGTTGAGATTGTTAGGTTGTTTATAGATTTGTATAGATTGTCGGATTTTTCGTTGGTAGAAGAACTACATGCAAAAAATTTAGTTTTATCGAATAAAATGTTATGTCCGGTTTCATGAGTGTGTTCGGCAACAGCCGATGAGTTTATTTGTCTTAGAGGTAAGGCTCTTTCGTGTTCTTTGAGCCAGCTGATATTTTTCGTCCGGTCTCTCCAATTTATTCTTTGCCGCATATGCATGGAATGCTGTAAACTCCTGGCATCGCAAATGGAATTTTGTTTTTGACGGACCGAAGATGTTGAGAGATTTTTGAACAAATGGTAAATCTGGTTTTGACGTTATACTTCTTTGGAACTTTTGATATGTGGTCAGTGATCGCTATTGGAAGGTTGTGGTGAAGTGTATTTTTTGATAGAACGCTCAATATCTTTCATGTGGAAATTATTAGAGGGAAGAGCAGAGGTAAGGTGTTTTAATTCTGGGTTCAGTGACCCGGGCTGAGATAGTTTTACGGCTCTGTAAACAAGTGAGTTGATAACCGATGATTTTTGTGCCGGATGGTGATGTGACGATGCATTAAGGTATCGGTCTGTGTGCGTAGGTTTTTCTGTAAACACAATGATCCAATGTTAGGTCTGATTTTCTATTGATGAGAATATCTAAGAATGGAAGGTTATTATTAGTTTCCAACTCAATGGTAAAACGTATGTTATTGTGTATAGAGTTTAAATGGAAATGTACTAGGGTTTCTTGACCATGAGGCCAAATAACAAAAGTATCATTCACGTAGCGTTTAAATAATTTTGGTTTTAGATGAAAGGTGTCGAGAGCTTTCTTCTCAAAGGCTTCCATAAATATAATCGCGATGACTGGTGATAGTGGGGAACCCATAGCTGTTCCAGAAGTTTGTTAAAAAATTTGACCGTTACAAGAAAAATATGTTCCCGATAAGCATTTTTCAATTAAGGTGAGAAGGTTGGGTTCCAGATTCTCGGATTTTAATATATCTGAAATGATGTCTAGAGTTTCGGGAATAGGAACTTTGGTAAAGAGGAATTCTACGTCGAAACTAACTAGAATATCTTGTGTATCTAATCTAATGCTTTTTAATTGTTCAATGAAGTGAAACGAATTAACTACGAAATCGAACAATTAAATTAAAAAGCATTACATTAGATACACAGGATATTCTAGTTAGTTTCGACGTAGAATCCCTCTTTACCAAAGTTCCTATTCCTGAAACTCTCGACATCATATTAAAGTTCGAGAATCTGGAGCCAAAACTTCTCACCTTAATTGCAAAATGCTTGCCGGGAACATATTTTTCTTATAACGGTCAAATTTTTGAACAAACGTCGGGAACAGCTATGGGTTCTCCACTATCACCAGTCATCTCGAATATATTTATGGAAGCCTTTGAGAAGAAACCTCTCGACACCTTTCATCTAAAACCAAAATTATGGAAACGCTACGACGATGATTCTTTTGTTATTTGATCTCTTGGTCAAGAAACCCTAATAGATTTTCTTAGATATTTAAACTCTATACTCCCAAACATACGGTTTACTATTGAACTAGACACTAATAATAATCTTCCATTCTTAGATATTCTTATCAATAGAAAATCAGACCTAACATTGGGTCATTGTGTTTACAGAAAATCTACGCGCACAGACCGATACTTTAATGCATGGTCACATCACCATCAGAGTTAAAACGCCTTACTTCTGCTCTTCTCTCTAATAATTTCAACATTAAAGATTTTAAGCGTTCTATCAAAAAATACACTTCACCAAAACCTTCCAATAGCGATCACTGACCACATATCAAAAGTTCTAAAGAAGTATAACGTCAAAACCAGATTTACCACTTGTTCAAAAATCTCTCAACATCTTCGGTCCGTCAAAAACAAAATTCCATTTAAGATGCCATGAGTTTACAGCATTCCATGCATATGCGGCAAAAATATCAACTAGGCTTAAACAACACGAAAGAGCCTTACCACTAAGACAAATAAACTCATCACTGTTGCCGAACACACTCATGAAACCGGACATAAAATTTTATTCGATAAAACTAAAATTTTTGCATGTAATCAGTTCTTCTACCAACGAAAAATCCGAGAGTATAGAAATCTATAAACAACCTAACAATCTTAACCGCGACTCAGGTCTCTATCTGTCATCAATGGAGGAAGTTCGACACAGCAAAAACCGACGCCGGAGGAATCCAGAAATTTTTGTAAAAAGCATGACAGTACCCTGTGGAAGTTTCTTTGAAAAATTTATTTATTTATTTAAATGGAAACCCCTGTATTGGCCTTGTGGAATTGACCGGTTAAATTTTTTTTTGTCAATTGACCGAAATGATTTTGAAAATACAATGAAGTTTATATTTATTTATATTGTCCGTTCTGAGAACTAAATGGATTTGATAGTTTTATTGGGATTTCCCGAATTACTAAGTATCGTATTCGGGTATTCGTTGAAGAGGGTAAATTGGACATCACAAACGCATAATAATTTATTACAAAAAAAATATTATATGATAATAGATAACACTCTACAATTGCAAAATGTTATATTTTTTACTACTCAATTAAGAAGTGGCCAATTGAACAGCTACACTGTATTCAGGGTGAGTCGAAAAGATGGGTCAACCCCTTATTGACAAATTTGTTGTTGTAGTTGTAGTTTTTTGTGGTTGTTCGAAATTATGCCCTATAATGCAATTTTTCATTTTCGCCCACTTTATTTAAAGAAATAACATTTTTATTTCTCTTTCCCAGTTTTTCAATTGGTATACATAATTGTCCCGCAAATAAAAACGGCATATTAGCAGAAAAAGGTGCTGTCCTGTGTCCTATGACTCCACTATATTTTTTCGATGTACGCCTCTGGTCGTAAAACTCACATTGTTTGATAAACTTTGCATAATTTTTCTTATCTTATGTATTCCCGATTACAATTTTAGTTTTTAGATATTAAGATATTTATTAATTAAATAATTTATAATTAAATAATTCTTAATTAA